TGTTCAACCTGAAAAGGTTCTTCTAATCTATACCCTATTTCACAACAAAATCCACAACTTTTTGGGTTCAGTTACATAACTGTAATTTAATCTCTTTTTGGTTTAAAATGACAAGAGGTCTCTTCTAATCAATGTTCTTACAGTTTGTAGGTTCCTTGAAGAAACCATGACAATAATCTAGACCAATATAATCAAGTTCAATTAAAAAGCTGTTTTAAACAGAAAAAGATGTCATGTGTGGCACCAACCCCATAATGCAGTGTTGAGCTTATGACGGGATCAAGGAAGTACACTGTAACGCACCCCTAGTTTCCGTAAAACAACATGCCCAAAAGGGACATAACATTATGTGAAATATTTACCTTGGTAATGAGGCCATGAACGAAAAACACAGGGCTCACTCAAAATGTGTGCGACAAGAGATGCTGCCATCACACTGGCACAGGAAGACCAACTCTCTGAAGGCAACTGAGAACCATCTGCATAATCAGTTATCCCTTTCACAATTAACCACTCAATTTGACAGTCAAATGCTGCTGTAAACACTCCTATAGAACAATAAAGAAAATGGCACTTGAGTAAATGTTGAAGACAGTCCTACATGCATATAGCTTACAGTACATTATTTTGCAAAACTAACTTTCAATAAAAAAGAGAAAAATAAATGAAGCTAACTGGAGTTGAAGAATGTAGAGTATGTGAACTGTAATGCCTCCTTCCCAGTCGTTCAAGTTTGGATTGAGGTTGCGGACAGCTCGTGACTTTGCTCTGGTAGACCTGCTTCAGGCATGCATTAGTTTGTTTATGCAAAAGAACGGCAGGAAGAAGAGGACAGCAAAACACTTGTGTGTGACAAACATGACAGGGCTATTACTTGTGTGTTTTGTCGAAACGTTCACTTAACATTAATGTTTTCTGGTCTTTTACAAAAAGATCTGTTTAAAGGAAAGTGAAGTTTGGCAAAAAGTTATTTCAAACAAAATTACTGTCACACTTGTCACACAAGGTCTGCTGTCATCTTTCCTCTCCTGTTCACTGTCACGGCCTCCATTCTTTAGTGGTGAGTTGCTTTTCTTTAGTTTTTATTGCGAGGGAGTTTGTGACTCCCCTGTTTGCGGTCCCCGTTTTTTCTTCAAGCACATGTAGACTGGTTTGGGTGGGTGCCACTCACAAAGTTGTCATGGTTACCTTCCAAGCTCACTTGCGGCATCTTTCAGTTTCACCATGCACCTTCCCCACACCCATCTATTGTCGTTGGGTTAATGTGGCTAAATGTAATTTAGACAGTGGTCTCCATCACTAATTCTTTTAAGCGGACCCCCAATTAAGCGGACACCCTCTGTTAAGCGGACACTAAGCCAGGTTCCGAAATTAATGTCCTATATTTTCCAGTATAACGAACCTCTATTCTGCGGACACCTCTATTAGGCGGACACGGACAATAAAATGAATTGTATTTGGATAATTTCTTTTGTTGAAAACCTCTATTAAGCGGACACCAGACTGAAATGACAATAGTAGAATTAGACTACCTCCTTGAAATACGTACTGTAGTGACAGTTAATGTTTTTTCATTTGGAAGCAAATTAAAGTTGGTAATGAAAGGTAATGAAGTTGAACTCTTGATAGCTTCTTTAACAACACGCAACTTTATCACAGTACAGAGTAACCGTTGAATGTTAATCGTTGACAAACATTGCGCAATTTTTACAAACCTCTACTAAGCGGACACTTGGGAAGGTCCCGAAGGTGTCCACTTAATAGAGGTTTCATTGTATTTTACAGCACTTTGAGTTTCCCTATAGTAAATCATTTTGCTCATGTTGCTATGTTACTTTCGCATTTTTGCTCCCAGTGCTTCCTTCCCTTTGGATGTTTTTTTGGTAAGTATTTGCACATTTCTCCACTGAAGGTCTCAGAGTGACAGTGCCTGGTAGGTGCCACTCATTGGGTTGTCATGGCTACCTTCTAGGCTCGCTTGCAACTCCCTTCAGTTTCACCAGGCACCTTTCCCATACCTATCTTTTGTCACTGGGTTTAATTTGCAGATATAATTGTTGTAATTGTAATAGCAATCTAAGCAATGATTGCAAATTAACCTGAAAAAAAATTAAGGAGGGGAGGGTAGCTTCAAGGGAATTTGAACCAATAGCCTCTCTGTTAGCAGGACAGTGCTCTAACAACTGAACAATGAAGACCCATAAATTGGGAGGGCAGCCCCATCTTTTCAGCGAAAAAATTATTATAATACGGGTGTATTAAACTCAAACAAGCAAACAATCGGCGCAATGACTTGAAATCAACACTGAATCAAAAGCAACCAACATATCTATAGAGTTAAAAGAGACCTGACTGCACGCACTTCCTAAGGCTGGCTGCATATTAAAAAGTCTACTCACCTTCTCCTTCATTTTCGATTGCCATAGCCTGAGGATTGGTTTCAGCAAGTTGATCACGCCGCCACTCAGCTCTGATTTGTTCTGGTCCACTCAAAAACTCCGCGTCAGTATAAACTTGAACGTGCTGAGCTTCAGGATCCTGCAAAGGTGCTTGCCAGCCATCAGTACAATTTTTAATGACATTCAGAAAGCGTTTGCTCACATAACTTCTCATACCCGTTGACTGCTCTTGATTGCTGGTCACTACTTTCGATGCATATGTTGCTAATTTGGCAGACACAACAACATCTCCTAACTTGGATTTTGCAGGGTTGAGGCCACTACATGTTCCTACTGAAATAACTGCTTTGGGTCTTAGCACAGAGGCAGCATTCTTTACAGACACAAGAGAACCACCAGGACCAATACCATTTCTGTAACATCTTAATAAAGCAACTTTCAACTCCTCTTGACTTTCACCCACATCAGAAAAGTAAACATAGCCCAGACCATCAAACCAACATCTATAGGGGTTTTTTAGCTCACTATAACAAGCTAAGAACTCACAGTTTGTAACTGTAAGTAACAGAATGTCAACAGGCAGATCAGCATCTTTTGGAGGTTTGGTTATTGCCTTAATATCAGTGAAGGATGGAAGACCTTTATTTATAAGCTCAGGAGGGTCCCCTTGAGGGTTGCTTGTATCATCTTTAGATGGGACTCCAGTTATAGCCTGGGCTGTGATGTCATCAGAGCTGCCATCCTGTGAAGATTCTGACATCTCGGATCCTAACCATTGCATAAAAAACATAACATTAACAAAAACTACAGCGTATACGATACATTATGGTGAATAAACATCAATTAGTAGTCTAATAAATTAAGGTACGAATCATTTGGTGGAGGAATTTCAAAATTAACTGCACTTGTGAATATCAGATGTGGCCTATGGAAGAGAGCAAGGAGAAGCTCTAGGGCTTCGTACACTGATCGCCACAGTCGTTTACAATGTCTCCAGCCATGGGTGTCGATCTCAACTTGAGAATTGTTGGTGCATTAACACACTCACAGCTGAAGACCAAGTCTCTTAAGCTGTTGTGAACTAACATAATTATTTTACGAGCGTGAGCAAAATATAGTGATTTGTCAAAACAAGGTGGTGAGCAGATCAGTTATTCAGCATGCATGGGCAATTAATAAATAGACACTGAAAAATCATGTTATTTTGTGAAGCCGAGTTTAACAATCATTTTAGACTTCAATAAGTGAGTTTTTTGTTACACCTTGTAACAAGGAGTCTCAAAGACACAGAACAGTGACAGTACCAAAAACTATAGTTTTAAAATGATCCATTACCCTGCTGAATCTCCATTAACTAAGAGACTATAGAGATTTTTGCATAATATGAAAAAATGAGGGAGAGTGTTTCATCATGGGTTCCAAACACCAAGAAACAGATGAAAGCACGAGGCCGTGATGTCTTCTCAAATGAAACAATAAGAAATTATGAAGTGAAATGTTTCCTCTGGTATTTCAGGCGTAGCCGAGTCTTTAAAGACCGACTTCGAGGTACACGTGTCTCCATCCATCATTTATGGTACAATTCTTGGAGAATTAAGTCAAAGATATTAAATTTTGCAAAATTTTATGATAATAATATTATCTGATATCCAAACCACCGTCATGGTAAGTTGTGATTTTCTTTGTTTTCTCTTTACAAACAAGTTTAAGAAATTATTTTTCTGCAAACACAGGAACCAACACTGCGCACGATCAGATCAGTTTAATTAGTGCGTTATGTCATCTGAAACATTTATTTGACATGTATGAATTAAATGCAGTTCGCCACTTCTACATATGATACAGCGGATAATACACGCCTTGTATCCCCGGCCTTACTCCCAGCAAATTTTGCATTAGGCTCGATTTCCGCCGGCTCATTTTCCCGAACAGCGGCTGGTAATCGAGCCTAATTTTGCATAGGAATTGAAAAGAGAAAACAATACTTTGCGAAATTATGGATGGTAACCATGCAAGGTGTATTATGGGCAATGTAAAAGTGGCCTATACAATGAACCGTACAATATTTAAAGCTCAACCTAACCTATGAACAGACCCAAGACTCCGTGTTACAAAATATTCACTGTCACGACGTTATCCTCTCTTTTGCAAAACAATGCACACTACATTCCTCCACATTTCATTTTGCTAAAGTACCCTGCACACTTGGACAAGTATTTGATCATAGGTTTTTACGGCAAGTAGGTTTGTCCACACTCACAATGCTCAGAAAACATGGGACTGTAGGCATTTTGAATCCCATTTGCATGTTTACATCACAACTTCAGTTTGCATTCACCTCCAGAACCGTAAAAAAAAATATACTCAAACACATAGATGAAAATTATAATTCCAGAGAGTTTAAGCAGATCTATTCTAAAACTCATTAATAATTCATAAAGAGAAAACAAAGAAGATCACAAACTGTGACGGTGGTTTGGATCGGACCAAACTGATGAGGCCTGAATGGCAGACTAAGGACTCAGGTCATGGACTATAATCTATTTCTTTACCTGCTGTTGTTGAGTGATCTCTATCAGCAGACTCTTGTTTTGAAACAACATCTGTAACAGCAAAAAGAATAAATTTGAACAAGACTGCGAAGACTGTATTTGCTGACATTGATGGGGATTATTGAAAAACGCATATGCAGGTATCAGAGCGTAGGAACAGATTTACTTAGTTAATGCCCTAAGCATAATACATAATATATACTTTATTATAAAAGAGGCAACGCAATATTGAGAAATTATAGTTAGCCCGCTAATGATTGGAGTTGCTATCACAAGTTATTTTGCTGCTGCTAGATTGCTACTTTTCACTACTTTTTGTGCGAGTCGTCGACCAAAGTTAAAGTCTACACGTGACTGCTATATTGTTATGAACTCTAAGCATCTGTCATTAAATCTGCTCTAATATTCTATCACGTGGAGTTCGAATTATCTATCGCCTCGCACCGTGCTATCCCTGTTGCATGGTAGTAACTCACCTGTTAAAGGTATGTTCTCCTCCTTCTTCTCCTCGTTATGGTCTTCTTTGATATTTCCTAGCAATAGATTTGATAGCTTGACATCCTTTGATTTTGCTACATGAATTATGGACATTAAACAGAATACAATGGATACTGAAAAGACCACAATAATAGCAAAGTTGAGATCTGATTTCTCTTTGTATCGTAAGTCGTTGCATGTGAACGTTGTATTTGCTGAAAAGCAACTATACTTCACAGGATATTTAAGTTTCTGGTAATGCAAGAACAGTCCTATCATGACAACTAGAACGACAATCTGACCGCAGATGTGAAAAATAAACTTCCGTAAAAATAGTTTCTCCAGCTTCTTTTCTCTCTCGATATTTGTCTCTTTATAGATGCGTTGCAAGTATACAACACCTAGCAGAGTAACTAACAGCCAGCCACATACTGACATACCAAAGGTAATACTAGCAAAAGTCAATGGTGTTAAGAGTGGACTCATGGCAGAAGTGTAATTTGTATAACAAAGCTGTTTTTCGTATTTAATTACTTTGGGCATACAGTTGAATTGCTGCCAGTCTTTGCTTTCATAGCCCTTAAGTTGATTAATGATATAGGGCCAGGCAGCCAGAGAGAATAGCAAAAGAAAGCCACTGAATATGGTCTGAGACCTAAATGCAGCTTTGACGAGATTATCCATCACAAAGAAGGATCATGTAATCTGAAAGAAACAAAGAATTAACACAGAAAGGTTAGAACCATGGGTAAGATAATTTGGTTATCTCATGTGCATCCAAGAAATTGAACCAAGTGATCCTATGAATAAATGAATGAACCAGTCTTAACTAGATATTTTCAATGGCTTAACAGCTAGCAGAGTGCATTTAAAATAAAATCAACAATAATGTAGAATATCGCCGACCTGACCAATACATTTTGGTGGATGGAACCCGAAGAAGGACATCTGTACTGCCTAAAAACTTTTAGGCATGTGGGTAACTTCGCCATTTGCGGCACACGTGATGTTTAAGCTCTCTTGTTTTTGGCTCATAAAATTTTCGAAAACAAATTTTCTGTCAAAAAAAATATATTTCAAACGTGTTGTCAACAAAGTATGTCAAATTGCACATCCAAATGCTTTCAATTGATTGAATTAAACCAGAGGAAGTCATGAAAATTAATGAACATAAGCAGATTCCAGTTGAATGAGAAAAATTCACAGACACAATCATGACAAATAACAAACTTCAACTTAAACCATGTGAACAAATAAATTTTGTTTTTAAATTCCCTTTTAATGCCTGCATTTTTTTTTCTGGAAACCTTTTATCAGCCCACTTTCTAGTCTGAGAAATTTAAGCTTACAATGAAGTTTGTCTCACACTTTTTAACTCTCATGGTTTGACTGCGAGACTCATGGTTTGGGCTGTCAACTCATGGACTCACAATTTAGCCTTCAGATCTCATGGTGTATCACAAAATCTTGAAGTTGCCAGAAAATTCTGGTAGGAGTTGCGTAATTTAAAAAAATCAGGCTTCAAAATACATATATATTTATATCAATCTAATTTTCAGGGGAGAAACTCAGGGTCCAATTGTTCCAATCTCATTCCCGTGAAACATAGGATTAGCTAAGCTGTATGGCAAATTCAAAATATAAAATGTCCTATCGACGTGGATTAGTGAAACAAAATCTCAAACTAACTTAGAGACTTCAGGGCCTCCCAGCTTCAGAAGAAAAGAAAATCAGCAGCTGGAGAAGCCATTGCAAATATCATAAAACAATTAGGGAAAAGAATACTATGACAGAATATTCTGCCTTTTACTTTATGGTTTTATTTGACCAATGTTTTTGAAATCTCCACGTTTGGGGAGGTTTGTGGTGTATGTGCTGTATCAAAACTAAACCCCCCAAAATAATTTCATATAAAAATTGCAACCCCTCCTAGACCAAGTTCTAAGATAATCAGTTTGCCTCTCCATTGCATTGACTTCATAAGCAAAAAATTATCAGCAGATATATATATTTTTGAATAGTTTATAGGGTCCTGGACCAAGCTTGGTTACATAGCATTCAATATGACAAATAAATTTTGTTTTTTAATTCCCTTTTAATGCCTGCACCCTGGCAAAGATGCAAGAGGGGTAGCCCCAGGGAGTCATTTGCACAATCCAGTAGAGTGAGGTAAAAAATTCTACAGGGGTACAATTTTGCTGCTGGCAAGGAACCCTTTGAGTGAATATTTTTTACAGTCAGCACTTTTGAAGGAAACGTGGATTTGCTCCATGATAATAATTATAGTTTGACAACTGTTACAGAGAGTGTTTAAGTCCTGTATCTTACAATTTCATTCTCTCTCTTTTTTTGAATTTTCAAAATTGACCCCCTTCCCTCCCAAATTAACCTTTTTGAAAATCATACCCCTTTGCCCTCTCCGACACCCTCCTTCCTCTCAACTGGGATGTGATAAATGATTGCTTCCTACAGTGGCTCCCCGCATTGCTGCATTAGATTGGGGGGATACAGAATGTGCAAGTTTAAAGCCAGGGGAATAATGATTACGTGGGCTAATATAAAAGAAATAAGGCACTGATGATAGGCTCCATTTTTAAAAATGTCTTTTAAGAGGAAGGCCTTGTTAACCTCAACTGCCACACGACTTAACCTCAATCAGCAGAGTGCTCGACTGCAGAATGGGAGGTCACGGGTTCAATCTCCAGAACTGTAACAATAATCAGGGTCTTAAAATAACTAAGAAATAAAGGTACATGTACTGCCTTTGCCCTGCAAATAGCTAGATTTTCGGGCAGCTCGAATGACGATGTATAAAAATGGCAGTCTAGTCTCGTACGTTGGAAATCTGGGCATTATTTTAGTACTACCACATCATGCTAATTTTATTGACACAGTCTGCTTTAAATGATTGTCCTAATTTACGCCTGTGGTAATTATATAAATATATTTAATATAAACAGATTGTATTTTTTTGATTCTGAGTTTTAGCATCTTTTCTGCTGTATGTGTCTCACAAAATGGCTGACTCTGTCCATTAGCATTATATTATTTGTCTATGAGGTGATTCAGCCAATAACGAACAGACGGATTGAAGTTTCACATATTAAGCATTGTTTTTGTAGTTTACAATTTAATAAGGCTCATACAATTGAAATGGTGAAAAAAATGTTAACTTTTTTCGTGTTTACCGAAAGTTGATCACGTGATCAACTAATGTAAAAAGGCCTATTCATTCATTCCTTGAGAGAACCATTGGAAAGTCAAACTGGTAGGGCATTTTCGACCACTATCTTCGCCTAATTGATGAGACAGGAATTTGAACAGGTCTACCTGGGGGATTACTGTTGAGGAAGAAACACTCGCAATAGAACAGACGCGTTTACACTGAGTACTTTGTTATGACTATTTGTTTATTTCAAGGAGCCAATTAGAATACGACGTAATGCTTTCTAGAACTTTCTATGACAAGATAAGAACTGGATAAACAGGTTTTTGTCTTCGCGTTACATAAGCAGTTTCAACATACCAGTGTGTGCTCTTTTGTCGCGGATCGATCTGTAACGGAGTTCTCTTAAGTTTCTGGTAGAAATTAAAGTTCAAGTTGCGTTTAAGAAACCTGTGGCTGTCACAGACGTTCAAGTTGAATCTTAACAATTACCTGGCGAATTGATCGGCGCATAATGATTTACGGGTCACGCGATCGAATATTTTTATGGCTATTACAATAAATTATTGATGCTTTCAGCGTGCTGTTTTCAAAAATGCTTAAGAATCTATTTCAAGCTAAGACTAAACGCAGTGGATTGAAAGTGATGCCCTTAACTTCAGAATTAAAACGTTGATATCGTCGTTCATAGGTTACCTTGGGGAATCTGAAGAATTCATGTAGAAAATAAGCAGCAATAGGAAATCCAAGAAAGTAGAGTCAATCTTCATTATTTTACGTGCACGCTAAACAGTGATACGCTGAATAAGAAAGTAAAGTCAACCCATGATTTCCAGGATTAACATAAACAGGTAAAAGTCGGAAATATCAATGCGAAATCGAAACTTTTCAAGTTACGACTTCCGTCTGGCTTTCAACCGTCTGGCACTCATGTTCAGAGCGCATGACATTTTCTCGCTGTTCTTGAACCCACGCTCATTCTGGGATGTTGGGCATGGGAAAAGAAAGGAGCAAATAAGGAAAATGGGAAAGAAAAAAAAAACCGCGGTAAAACTAGAAAGGCGAAGATAATGGCCGCCGGCTGCAGAAGCACTCTGACATCCCTTCCTTTCTTTGTTTCCTCATTTATTTTATTCTTCAATTAGGCAATTGAACAAACAAATTCCAAAACTTAGAGCAGCAATTTCAAACTAATCAAATATTTCGTTCGCATCATTCGAACTTCATCTCGGCGATGTAAAGTGAGGTTGCGCAATAGAAGGTTGTTACGTATTCTAGGGTTAGGGGATTGTAAATGGCCGGGAGCTCCAGTCACCCGTCCGTATACAAAGAAGGTTTTCTTTGTTTGATACCAGCGGCTTTTAATGGTGTGATTTTCGTCAGATAAAACTTCAACATTGTGTGGG